ATAAATTGGAAGTACCGAAAAGTTTTCAGAATAAAATCTAGTATAAGCAGTTGAGCGAAAATAATAAAAAAAGGTAATGAGAAACGCGAGTGAGCGAAAAATGCAACAACTAGTGTGCTACACACATGTAGGCCTTGAATATAAAAGATGGAGCACAAAAAAGTAGAGATAAACCGAACGAAGAAGAGGAGGAGGACGCAAAAAGAGCGCACATAATTTATATGTATAGGTATACGCGAGCTCTTCTTCTTCCTGTGGTCAGATGTGTGGAGTGAGCGGAATTCCGCGTTGCAATCAACCGGCAGGGCTAGCTTTTCCGAAAATAAAAAAATCAACAGCATCAGCAACGGCAAGGGTTCGACGGGGTGGGGGCGTTTTGTTATTGTGGACGCACATGCGATCCGAAAATCACAGAAAATTACGGGAAAAGCTGCGGCTACGCGAGAGACAATGGAAAGAAGAGGCGTCACGAATACCGGGCTTCCTTCTTTCTTCCTCTATAATACGCCCGAAGCGCTGTAATTTTGCGTGCCTCGTAACGGCCACGAGGCACGGAAGAGGCTTCATGTGTGCGCTTTCTTTCTCCCTCCTTCTGACCCTTCCTTTTACAGTCCCGCGTGTAAGATGCCCCGGAAAAATAATGGAAGAGGGACGAGGTGTACACAATGCCGAGTGTGCATATATTCTAATGGGCGCATCTTATGTTATACGTGCGTGGCGCAAAAAATTATCTGCAGGTCGAGGGGTTGCGCTTTAAGGAGAGGGTCACAGATGTTACGTGTACGTAATTTATGCGCGAGCTCGACAGGTCTGATTTCGTGGCGATGATACGTTGCGAGGTACATACAGGTATAGGTATACACCCTACCTGCGATGTTTTGTATATTAAAATGAAAGACGAATTAAAAAAGCAAGAGAAAGAGTGTGTGTGTGTACGTGACCCAAGGCTATTTCATCCTCGATTTGTTTCGATGATCGAAAACGTCGCGAGCCGATGCTGAAATTTACGCCAAGGGCTGCTTCTAACGTCTATTATTTGCCTGGAGCTATTTTTTTTTACGATTGATATTATTTTGCGAAATCCATCGTCTAACTGGTTTTTTGCCATGTTCCGAGAGAACAGAAATCGAGTATCAAAATAACGATGCAATTTGGATAAAACTCATATGGAAATTCCGGCAAACGGCAAGGGTTGCGAAACCGTTACGCTATACACACACACACATGCACGAGCGTGCGATCTCGGCGTCTCGAGATGCAGAGTGGCAGCAAAAAATCGCTCCTCCGAGCAGGGGTACACGTGTATGTATATAGTCGCACCGACGACAACTAGAACAACCATGAGGGGAGGACCGGGACAGTTTCCAGACGAAGCGTGAGACAATGAGGCGTAATTCGACGTGCCCTTTCTTGGATCCTTTTTTTTTTTTTTTTTGCTTCCCGGTGGAAATTTTTTTTCCACTCGCCCTCTAAAGCGCTCTCTCTCTACCCCTTTCACGTCCGGAAGCCGGTTTCGGGCGTCCTCCCGTGAGAGCAGCTGGCCCGTGACTCGCGCGGATGAAAAAGGACTCATTGTTACCGGTGTACTATCTAACAATGAGCCGATCCTCAAGAGTGTATTATTTTTACACTAGTGAGCTCCGAATTTTTTCGCTGTGGCAATTAAAAGCATACATACAAGTCATGAGAGTATAGTACCTCTAGTGCAACGAAAACCAAAATCCTTCGATAATTCGAGAAAAATATAACGTGTGATTTATTTAATTGTGAAAGTTTTCATTTATTTCTCTCGAACTTTTATTACGCTGTCGATCGATTAATCCGAGTGTGTAGTCGAAGAAGCGACTAAAATGAAAAAAAAGGAGGAAACGTACAGTCAATCTGTTCTCGGCTTCATCCAGCCGAGAGGGATGAGTCATCATCTCTAGCACTCGGGATTCCGACGCACGGAAAAACGCGCTGCGGCGGAAATATCGAAGGGGTGGATCCGGTCCAGGGGGACGCGAGGCGGATGAAGGGAGAGATACTCTGGCGAAAAAATTCATTTGAATCTCGAGCTCCGGAAGGGTTGCTGTCGCATGCCTCGACACACACGCACACGAGTTGAAAAGAGGGAGGAGAGGATGCCCGCGAGCGATGTGTAGCTATACGCATATATATATATATATATATATGAAAATAATGCCGTGAGGCGCCGAAATAATTGGATTTCAATTTGCGCGGAAAAAAAAACTCCCCCTCCGTCTCGGTTTCGCTGTCGTGTTGTTGGTTTTGAAAATTAGTCCGCGAGCCCTTGCGCTTTGGGTAACACCTTTTTTCGCGATTCTCACGTTCCTCATCTCCTCGTCCGTATAGATACGTATTTTTTGTTCATTATTTTAAGTGCTCATCGTTCCCTCTCTGAAGAGGACATGTCACATTGTTTCGGCCAATCGCGAACTGGATATTATATGCACGGCTTTCTGATTAATAATTTAACAGTCAAAGAATTTTTCGTCTACAAGTATAGGATTCACAGTCAACGTTTTAATATAACCAGCTTCGATTAATCTACGTCCCCTTGCCGTTGTACATATATATACACGCGTAGACACACCACAGGGGGAGGGGGAAAAAACCTCATCAGACGCGCGTAAAAGCTTTGGAAAAAAAAAGTTTCTCGGAACTGGAAAATCGGACGTCTGCAGCGCGGAGGCTGAAATTTTTATCTCCATCCCCTTCGCTTTCGATTTTTAAATACGAGCGCCGTGGATTTTTATTCCCCAACATCCTGTCAAAGTTTGCTTACAGAAAAGTTGCGCGCAATTTCGCTCGGATAAGTTTCAGTCGCAACGCAAGTTGCATTCAGCCGGCAGTTTTTCGTTATCCCCGTCCAACTTAATTAAATCGCCAAGCCCCGGTGGCAGACACGCGTCCTTTTTGATACATGGAAAAAAAAAGAAATCCACACGCCACACCTCGACAATGGACAATCATTGTTTACAAATATTTTTACCTTCGTCAATTCCTACCTACGAATGGCACAGAGAACAGGGGGGAGGGGGAAATGTAACGTCGTCTGCCCCTACAGCACGTGTTCCTCCGAGATTTAATTAAAACATTCGCCTCCTCCCTTCACCCCTGCGATATTTTCATCATCTCCTCCTCTGCCTCTCTCGTTTTCTCTGCTCGGGCCTCCATCAATTTCACGCCACGGCATTATGTTGCAACTTGGATTGCGAGGGGTGGAGAATAAAAGGACCATAGGTGTCCGGGGAGAGCGCACGTCAAAAGGCCTCTTACGCTCGGACAGGTTTTCAAGATAGCCCAAGACTCCCCTGCCAATCGCCGCGTACGGGGTGCCCAGAGGGAGAGCAGAAAAACAACGAAAGCATCCGAGGGAGAGAGGAAACTTTTTTTCCGCCAACGCGAATGGCTGTACGTGCTCTTGTCTTTTAAAAGGTGAATTTCCGCCGATGGAGAAGTTGGCTGGAAAGCAAAAGTACAAAGTGTGCACGAGCGGGCGGAGGGAAAAGTAGGACGGGGGTGGAGGAAAAAAAAGAAACGGGGACAAGAAGCCGATATCGCAGTAGGCGGGTGTAGAAGCTCGTTGCTGCGCTTGGGCTGTCTCAACTCGGGTTCGCGGAAAAATAAAAGGAGCCCGCAAAAACAAAGGAGTCGGGCTACTTAACGAAACAAATTGTTGCTTCGTTGCCCCGACTCGGAGGGCCCGGAATTAAAAAGTTTCCCACCCGTAGCGCCCGTCCTCTTCCTCTCGCCGCGCTACACTTTTCTTGCCTTACTTTTATTTTCTTCCGTAACACCCACCCCCCTGGTCCGCGCACTTTTCCACGCTTGTCCTTGCGCGGGGCAAAAGTAGCCCCGTGAAACGAAATTCAATGTTCGTTAGTTCTGCTTTTCTTTTGGCAACGGTGGCGGCGCGCTCGCGGTTAACTTTTTCTCCCCCCTTGCGCGCACGGCCAAATTGATAAACTTCTTTTTTAATGGCCGGGCAATTGCGCCCGCTTATTCTCGCGCTTCCCCCTTAGCTGTTTAACCATCTTCCCCGCGAGGGTTGGTCAAGACGACCTCGAGGGCCCAACGTTACTCGGTTTTTCTTTGGGTTGTAAAAAAATTTGCTTACCAAACTTTAGTCGTGTTCATGCACGCAATTGGATTATATGTACAACATTGCAGGGGTCTACAAAAGCTCATGGGAATGTAAACCTATATATTTGTACCGGACCACTCGCAGCTTTCAATTACACTTTGTAATCGATTTCTTTGGCCCGGGACATTACTTTTTATACATTTTATATATATTTTATTACATGAAATATTTTTATTGCATATAGATAATAATAATCATGAGATTTGTGTAATACGACACATAGACTGCACATTTAAAAGAAAAAAAAAAAACAAAAGCAACATCGAATACACAGACTTACGGTAAAACACAATAGCGGCTAAACGACAATGTAAAACAGATTTAAAAGGCATCGGGGCATACATGCATGCACGAGCGAGTATTACGTATATGATATACATGTAGGCACGGAAGCCGATGAATGGCTCGTTAACCGTATGTATATATATGTACATGTACGTATAATGGACACCGATGAAAAAGCTATTGCCGTATGGACAATAATCCTCTGGGCGAAGTAAAAGCACTCGCTGTTACACGAGGAAATTAAATGTAGTGCAAAAACATAAATAATCACAACAACAAGATCGATGGCGTATATACGATGAAATGCATGAAGGGATGATGTTTATTGGGCGTACGTGTTCATTAACAGTTGGCGAGGAAACAAAAAAAAAGAGGCTTTCATTTTTCGCAGCGAAAACAAATACAATCAAAATGACAACGATACTCGTGCACAGGTGTGAATACGAATTTTTCATCGATTGAGTAAAAAATGCAAGTGATGCAACACGAGAGAGACGGACATTTGCAGCAGGCAAGGGGGGGGGGCTTGGCTGAGCAAAGGGTCAGAGTTGGATGTTCAACTCACTCGCTGCAGCGTCGACCAGCATTCCTCGAGGGTGCGATCGCTGAGGTTGGACAAACCACCGCCGGTTCCTCCTGTCCCGCCTCCACCGCCAGCGGCGACGTTACCCAAGAGTCCGGCTGCTCGGGACTGTTGTGTCGTTGTTGGTGTTGAGTCGCGAAGACGATCGCCGCCAAGAATCGGACAGTCGGCCGCGGAAAGAAAGAGACAAGAGGAGGAGATCCGTTAATCGGGACCTTTGACTTTGATCTTGACCATTGGCGTGATTACGTGTATACATGGTTGCATTTGGGGAGTCTTGAATGTGTCCCTTTAAGGGATGCACGTGGTGTATACCGATGCGTCTTAGATTACGCGGGGGGATGAGGAAATCAAGCAAGTAGATTATCAAGTGGGCCACTCAGAATCAGCTGGATCGTTTTAAATGCCATTTTTTGGTCAATCATTGGTATGCAGACGTTAAAAAAAAAAAAAAAATTGTTAACATTGCAACTTTCATGCATTGGTACAGTTCGATCATTTTTCGCGCGCGGGGGATGGGAGAGGGAAAACTGCACGGCCCTACGATGTACATTTATTTTCCGAGTAGAGCACGTCATCCCGTGGTCCCGGCGATGACGTGGTACATACACATATATTATACATCGGGTGCACATGTAAGAAGAGCAAGGGGGAGAAGAGAGAGCTGCACGCAGCGACGACGCATTATCTGGTGTTGCCCGGGTCAAGAACCCCGCGAGAGCAGTGCACGTTATATGCGTGTATATATATATATATTTACGTGGTGAGAAGAGACGTATCCGTATATCTCCGTGCTATATGGTGTAAGTGTGCGTATAATGTTCATGCGACCCGCTGAGCAAACGTTGCTTCTCGTCGACGCGATATACCTATACATGTAGTCGCGTGTACATGCGAACATGTGCACGTATACACGTATAATATGAAGGTCGACGCGCCGCCACCGCCAAGAGATACATGCCAACATCCCGGTATCGCGAAAACACGGTTATACTTGTATATATATAGTTTGCATCGGCTGCACGGGGCTCTCTTTCTCCCGACCCGAGCTCTCGACGTCCTTTTGCTCTTAGCATTTTTCTCTGCTGCGGGTGTATAAGTATAATGTATCTACTCTTTTGAGATTAGACGGGAATTTATGGCCAACTTATCAGGTGCATTCTCATTTTTTTTTTTTTTTCTTTTCTTTCCTTTTCTTATCCATTCGGCAGAACCTTTACGGTATAAATATCGAGATAAATATATTATTGTGTACATGATGTGCTTCAACATCGGGTTATTTCCTCATTGTTGCAACATTTTATTTCGATAAAAAAATGTACCAATGCATTCGTTATATTATTTACCTAGAGAAAAACAGTAGGGAGGAGGGGGGGGGGGAGGAAAGCGACCCACAACCACCCCAAAAGCAGACGAAATATTAAACGTAACTCACCTGAAGCTCGTTGACCAGCTTCTCGGCCAAAGTGGCGTCGTGCGAGTCCTGACTGCCAGCACTCGGGCTTAGCATCGAGTTCTGGGAGTTGGGCTGCTGCTGGGCCCCCGGCACGTTCATGCCCGCTAGCGCCCCGTTCTGGCTGATGGAGTTGGCCATGTTGAGCGCCTGCTGCTGCAGATTTTGCGTGAGGTTCTGCGCCTGCTGTGCCAAATTCTGCGTCAAATTTTGGGCCTGCTGCTGCATCGTCTGCTGATTAAGGCTCTGCGTGAGATTCTGGGCCTGCTGCTGGAGCGTCTGGGTGAGGTTCTGGGCCTGCTGCTGCATGCTCTGCTGCAAGCTCTGGCTCGCTTGGCTCAGATTCTGCGGCTGGTTGAGCAATTGCTGCTGCTGCTGTTGTTGTTGCTGTTGCTGTTGCTGCTGCTGCTGCTGCTGCTGCTGTTGGGGCGAGAGACTCGGCGTGAGACTCTGGGCGAGATTGTGCTGGAGCGTCTGGCCAAGGTTCTGCTGCATGTTCTGCTGGAGGGCCTGGGTGAGCGCTTGGCCGAGGTTTTGGTTCAGGGCTTGGGCAGCCTGGACCGCCTGGGCCGCCAGTGAGGGACTCGACGCCTGGGACATGGACTGCTGCGCCGCCGCTTGGGCCGCCTGGGCCTGCGCTTGGGCGAGGTTGTGCAAGCTCTGGGCCATACTCGAGGCTATCGCGTTCTGGTGGTGCTGGTCGGCCTGTGGCGAGGGCGTCGTCGGTGCTGGGGACGACTGATGCTGGGCCCCCTGCTGACTGCCTTGGCTCATCGACATTGCATGCTGTTGCTGTTGCTGCTGTTGTTGCATTTGTGCCGCGGTGCTCTGATTGAGTCCACCGTTGGCATTGTGCTGCTGATGGGCCGCACTGGCCTGCTGTTGCTGGCTCAATGGACTGTTGTGCATCGAGCTTGGCTGCTGCTGCTGCTGACTGTGGTTCTGCTGCTGCTGCTGCTGCTGCTGTTGGGAGTTTTGTTGGAGTTGGGGACTGTGTTGCTGCATGGCCGGGGAGTGCTGCGTTGGCGGGCCGCGTTGCGGCTGTTGCCAGTAGTCGGTCATCTTGAACACGTGCTGCCGAAGGGCGTGAAGGTTCGCCGCGGCGGCGGACACCGCGGACGTTTGGACCTCCATGGGCTCGGGTACCGGGACGAGCTCTGGCTCTGGGGAGCTCGGCTCTTCGTCCTCCTCTTCGTCGTCCTCGCGCTCCGTAATGTCCTCGTCCTCCTCGTTCGTCCGGAGCTGCTTCGCGACGGGTTGCCTCGCCGCGACGCCGCCCGGATCGTTGCTGTTGCTGTTGTTGTTGCTGCTGTTGTTGTTGTTGTTGTTGTTTATGGTGGTGGTGGTTGTAGGTCCACCTCCGTTACCCCCAGCAGCAGCACCGATTTCGTCCCCGATGCTGCCGCTGCCTCCCCCGCCACCCCCTTCTATCCCACCCCCCGAATCGCCACCGTGATGGTGCGAATTGACCGGATGATGCTGGGGATGGTGTTGCTGCTGCTGAAGGTGGTGGTGGTGGTGCTGGTGGTGGTGCTGGTGCTGCTGCTGGTGGTGAAGGTGATGATGGTAGGCTACCGGCAGCTGGGGTTGGCGGATCAGCTCTGCTTGTTGTTGCTGCTGCTGCAGGTGGTGGTGCTGTTGCAGCTGGAGTTGTTGTTGTTGTTGCTGTTGTTGTTGTTGCTGCTGCTGCTGCTGCTGCTGATGCGGTAGTGGTGGTGGTGGTGGTTGTGGCTGAGGTTGGGACTGAGGTGGTTGTTGTTGTATACCGGTGGTGTGATCCGGCTGTTCGCTCGTCAGCTGTTGGTGATGGTGGTGCAGCTGCTGCTGCTGCTGTTGTTGTTGTTCCTCCTCCTCTTCCTCCTCCTCCTCCTCCTCCAAGTCAAATTCGGCTTGGGCTTGCGACTGGGCGCGTAGGTCCAGGGCCGCCGTCGCGTCCGAAATCTTGAGGCCTTCGCGAGAAGCCCGGGCTACCCCCTTCCGGCGCAGCTTGCTCGCTTTTTCGCACCCCTTTCGGTAAGCAGCTCGACGACGGGCGCGCTTTTGCACGCAGTCGTCGCCGTCAAGTGGTCGCTTTACTACCGCCTAGGGTATTACTACTACCGCCTTCTCCTCTTCTTGATTATCCTGACTCCTCCTCGTGTCGGTGGTATCTTTGTCCTCGTCGTCGTGGTGCTGCTGTTTTGTTTATGGATGCGCACGATTACGACGGCTGCCGCTTCAGTACACACGTACCTCTGGTGTTGTCACGCTCGCTGGACCGATGCTCGACACCTTAAGGCTCATCAAACTTTTTTTTTTTTTTTTTTTCTTCTCAATCGGTATCTACTGGCGTTGTTACCGATCACTGCTCAAACTCTTTCTTCAGAGGACTCGTAAAAGGTTCCCGCTGATAATAACCCCTTCCTCTTCTTCTTACGATACCGGTGTCAATCGTCCTCGTCTTCCTTCTTGTCTTCGTCTATCGTCGTTGGTGTATATTATGTACAGGATCCGTCTCAATTGGTCAATGCGTGACGTGGGGATTGGATTGTCCGTGATTTGTGTCAATATTACAATTATTACAACACGTACGCGTTCACTTCTTCGGATATCCTCTCACTCGACGGAGGACAGTCCTAAGCGCGTTTACGTGTAAATGTGTGGGTGTGGGGGTGTGTGTTGTGTTTTTCTTCTATCTATACTTAAACTCTATACGTACACTTAAGTTCAGGTTAAATTCAGGATTGCCCAGCCCGGACGGTGTGAACGAGATGAAGATCGACGGACAACATTTGACGTGCACACGCAATTGTTTTGTATTTGGTCAAGTTGGCAAAGGAGCCTCTATCCATCTATCTCTCTTGTGGTTATTTGGTGATTATCTTTTGAGATGCGATGATGCTGGTTTCGCTGCACTGCGAGAATTAAAGCGAGCACTCGTGTTCCGCGATGCCCTGAGTATATTATTTAGTTGATTATTATTATTTTATTGATTTATTTATTTTTTTTTTTAAGCCCTGTTGTGTTTGTGTTCTGGTTCGTGTGTGTTTACGGTGTGTTGTGTTTGGTGATTATACTCGACTTTTAAAGTCCAATCGGTGGTAAGTTTGCGGAACAAGAGGTTTTTCGTCTCGCGCGTGTCTCTCCGTATCTCCTTCCTCGGTCGTCTCCTTTGTATTTCTCTCAGCGCCGTGCACACGTCTTCAAAGTCCGTCGACGACCTCGTCTCGATTAAAAATGCGACTCTATAGTATAATTTAATCTCGAAGAAGTTAATTATTTTTTTTTTGTTTTGTTTATCGATCAACCGCGTCGTACCGATCGTCAATGGTATAGTAGCTTTTTTCTCGTTACTATCGTTTAATTAATATTGCACTTAGGTACACTCGTTTGTTGAACACACTGAAATATATATGCACGCGGCGCGGGGTCTCTCGATTATCCTTCTTCTTCTTCTTCTTCCTCTCCTCACTCGATTCCCTTGCTTTGCTCTTACGCTCACTCTTAAAATCTCACTTGAAATCTTCTTCACTGCTCGCTTCCAATCTTCTCTAAAACTTCGCACTGGTGTAAACTCGGTCTCCACTGCTACCCCCGGCTATATTCTTCTCTTCTGCCACTTGTGCTCGCGTTTTCAGCTTTCCTTCTCTTCCTCTTGTCTTATTCTGCTTTTTCCGCTTCGTCCAGTCTTCCTCTCCTGCGCGGGAACAACTCGCTGCTACGCGTCTCCCGCTCGAAGCTGCAACAGCACACAAAACAAACGTCATCGGTTACTACATATTCACGGCTTTTTTCTTTTTTTTTTTTTTTTTTTCTTTCACATGCAATTGGGTACACTAAAATGTAAATAAATAAGTTATAGGTGGAAATCAATAATAACGCATGCCCGTGTTATCACTCGTGTACCTATGCTGTCGTGAAACGTAAAAACCTGCGCTTTTGATTGGACGAATGGAAATTTTCTACTTTGCGTAAGTGTATGATATTCAAATTCTGGGGTGAAAAAAATCTTCGAAACGCTAGGGGTGCGATTTACGGAATCGGGGAAAACATCCCTTGTTTTGCTAAACGCCAATAATAATCAATGATGGCAGTCGAAAACGAGATCGCTCTCCCATGATTTTCGAGTCGAGCTCCGCCGTCGCTCTCGCACGCGCGGTTTTGCACGGATGGGAGGTAGCAAGCGAGGGTCGAGCCGAAGGGAATGAAACTATGACTCTCACGAAGGAAATGAGGTATTTTTGTCCGATGAGCACTGTCACACATCGCGGGTACAATAAATTGCCGAGCTGCGTTTGTTAACGTGTTTCGTTCGTCCAAGGAGTTTCATGGAAAAAATTACTTTTGGATAAGTTGTCGATTTCATCGGTAAAATTGTGTTTTTCGACCTAAATTACTTATTTGTGGATCAAGTGAAAGATTTATCAATTCGACGCGTATTGCCAAAAAATTGTTAAAAATAAAAAAAAAAAAATTCCAAACGTCATTGTCAGTGGCGCCGATAAAACGAAAATAAATTTTCGGGCCCAAAAGATAAACCAAATTTCACGTCGCCGATACAAAACTCTGTCCGTTGCGCTGACTTTGACGCAAGTGTTTCAAGGCCGGCTGTCAGTCGTGACGCGTCGTCGTAACGTGAAAGTGTAATCTTGTGTGTATAGCCAGCGCTGTGGAGTCAAGAAACCGGAGCAACGAGCTAAGACAACCCCCCCTGTTTCGCGCACTTGAGTCGCGGGGGAGTAGGGCAGAGGGAAAAAACGAAAAAAACCACTTTGTCACTGAAAACCTGTGGACTTGATTATTTTTTCAAATTCTCCCCTAATATCTCTATTCACAAAACTCTCGGCACGAACGACAAACTGCACTTGGGTCGTATTATTTTATTTGCGTGTTTTTGGACCGAAAAAACGATCACGATCACTTGTAACTTTGACACTCGAGGGACGCAGATCGGCGCCGGCTGACACTGGAATATCTTTCACTGTGGCGCGTCTATAAAAAACTTTTTCGACCACCAAGTCCGAATCTCGTTGTTCACTGGATCCTCCGGAAAATCATGGAACTCGCGTCTCCCGACATCCAGAAAAATATCCAAGTGTCATGCCGCGCCGGTACTTGCGAGCGACGTGCCGGGCAATCCAAACACCTGCTGTCCCAAACGGAGAACGGGAAGAAAAAAATCTCCAAGTAAAGCTCCTTACGCCAGGATAGATTGCCCCAATAACTTCAGGACAGGGTAGTAGTTGATTCACCGCGGCGACAACACTCCCGAAGACGATAAGCGCTGGTAATGGTAACAATGATCCAGAGTCCCAGTTGTCGTTGCTACTAAGGGAGCACTCGGCAGCATCGGCATCGGCGTCAAACATTCGCGACCGAGAATAAGAACCGACTGACTAGTTTCTCCAAGTGACACGATAACACACGGTGTTGAAGTAATACTGCTCGCGTGCGTGATCAAGGGTACGGGCGCCAAGACACGACTGGCGTTACCGCGACTCGCGACGACAACCAAAGACGACGACGACGACGTTAGAGGGAGAAAAGACGCGTTTTCCCTCTCGTCCTTCTCGGGTCCTTGGCGGGCGAAGGAAGCGAACTGACTCGGCTCCGCGGTTCGCGAGAAATGTGCTAAGTCCTTCTCCTGAAAGAGTAGAGCAGAGCAGGCGGGTGGTCGGGAGATAGCGGGCGGGCAAAATAGTCAGGCGCAAGGCAAGAAGGTGGTAAGAGAAAGAGAGAGAGAGAGAGAGAGGAGCGTCTCGAGAGTGTGGTGGTTGCCTGCGCGCCGCGTCTCAGACCGCGTGCTGCGTCTCTGGCTGCTGTTTCCCTCAAGCAGCAGGGAAAACCACCCCCTTAGCCGCCAGTGTATATACAACGACGACGACGACCACCACCGCCGCGTGCCTCCTTCCTTCCTTCCTTCGCCGCCGAGCGCCGCTGCCTTAAAGAACCCCGAAGCAAGTAGCGCGGGTAGGGGCGTTGTCTTAGCTGCAGATGCGCGAGCGCAGAGTATATATATATATACCGTTCTCTCCCTTCCGCTGCTGTCTTACGCCACCGCCACCGACCGGCGAAGGGGCTCTCTCTCTCTCTCTCTTCTCCTTCCAGCGAGCTTCGGTGTATAAGAGAGAAGACGCGGCGAAGGTCTCTCCCAAAGTCTCAGAGGGAGAGTGGGTAGCCGAGCTCTCACCCCCCCAGAGGCCGGGAGGGGGGTGGAGAGGCCCGAAAGTCGCCCGAGAGGTCCGCGCCGCTCTCGGTCGCACGTCTCTCTACTCTCGCGGGCGCCTTCCCTTGGCCTGCCGAGGGAGACACGCGCTAAAAACTGAAGGCGGCCCGCCGGACAGGACTTTTCGCCTGTGCCGCCCCTCTACTCCTTCCCGCGCCTCCCACCACCGACGCCGTTTCTGCTCC